CCACTGGAGACTTGTGATTGCAGACTCTGCACTAAGGGGCCTAAATACCTCTCAGTTTCTATCTATGCATGGCCATTTCTTGTTAGAGGTGCTTGAGTTTAATTCTTTTTTTTTTTTTTTTTGAGACAGAGTCTTGCTCTGTCGCCAGGCTGGAGTGCAGTGGCGCAATCTCGGCTCACTGCAACCTCTACCTCCTGGGTTCAAGCAATTCTTCTGCCTCAGCCTCCCAAGTAGCTGGGACCATAGGTGTGTGTCACCACGCTCAGCTACTTTTTGTATTTTTAGTAGAGACGGGGTTTCACCATGTTGGCCAGGATGGTCTCGATCTCTTGACCTTGTGATCTGCCTGCCTTGGCCTCCCAAAGTGTTGGGATTACGGGCGTGAGCCACTGCGCCCGGCCGCTTGAGTTCAGTTCTTTTTTTTTTTTTTTTTTTTTTTTTTTGAGACGGAGTTTTGCTCTTGTTACCCAGGCTGGAGTGCAATGGCGCGATCTCGGCTCACCACAACCTCCGCCTCCTGGGCTCAGGCAATTCTCCTGCCTCAGCCTCCTGAGTAGCTGGGATTACAGGCACGTGCCACCATGCCCAGCTAATTTTTTTGTATTTTTAGTAGAGACGGGGTTTCACCATGTTGACCAGGATGGTCTCGATCTCTCGACCTTGTGATCCACCCGCCTCGGCCTCCCAAAGTGCTGGGATTACAGGCTTGAGCAGTTCTTAATATTGTTGTCTTGTTGGCCGAGAGTTTCCAGTGGCACCCTCTACTCCTCTACTTAGGTGGGACTTCTCACCTGGGTTCACAGGTACCTGCAGGTGAGACAGGTGCTCATTCACTGCATTTTCACCATCCTATTTCTAGAATTCTAGAGTGCCCAATATGCTAAAGGTTAATCTCTGATTTAACAAGAGAATGGGCCGGGCACTGTGGCTCATACCTGTAACACTTTGGGAAGCCGAGGTGGGTGGATCACCTGAGGTCAGGAGTTCAAGACCAGTCTGGCCCATCTTAAACCCTTTGTCTAATGAAAATACAAAAATCAGCTGGGTGTGGTGGCATGTGCCTATATTCCCAGTTACTCGGGAGGCTGAGGCAGGAGAATTGCTTGAGCCAGGAGGTGTAGATTGCAGTGAGACGAGATTGTGCCACCACTGCACTCCAGCCTGGGCGACTTTGCAGCAAAACAACAACAATAATAAAAAAAAAAAAAAACAGAAGTGAGATCAACCAACTTGCCCAATACAAAACTCTTTGCACACACTTTTCTGTCCGAATCACTGAAATCTCTCTTTTCTAGGTTCACCACAAGGCCACATCTTTAAAGTTTTAGAGTTTTTATTGTGAAAATCTATTTGTCTCAATTATGTATTCTCTGGTATTGTTCACAATTGCTGTCTGTGTCGGTCTTAACTCCCTACCTAGATGCTGAGTCCCTTGAACACAGATTCATGGCTTATACACAAGGGCTTCTCAAACTTTAATATGCACATAATCACCTGGGGAACTTGCAAAAATGGAGATTCTGATGGGGCCTCAGACTCTGCATTTCCAACAAATCCCCTTAGTTGTGGTTCTATGCTCCTGGCCCAGCACAGGACTCACTGATTGATTGATTGCTGTTCTCTCTTAGAAACCTTACAGGGGTTCATTTTCTCTGTTAGACATTAATTTTCCCTGTCTGTAGCACATTAAATGGTTAATAATCATTTGTCTTTTGATGGGCAGGCAGTGTAGCGTGGCTGGTTAAAGCATGACTTTGAGCCACTCAAATAAAAAGCTAACATGTATTAAGTACTTACTATGTGTTGGGCACTGGGTTATTTCTTTCTCTCTCTCTCCTCTCTCTTTCAGTCTCACTCTGGGTAGGCTGGAGCACAGTGGCTCATGCTTGTCATCCTGGCACTTTGGGAGGCTGATATGCGTGCATTGCCTGAGCTCAGGAGTTCAATACCAGCCTGGGCAACATGGTGAAACCCCATCTCTACTAAAATACAAAAAGTTAGCCGGGCTTGCTTGTGTGTTCCTTTAGTTCCTTTAGTCCCAGGTACTCAGGGAGGCCAAGGTGGGAGAATGTCTTAGAACCTGGGAGGCGGAGGTTGCAATGAGCTGAGATTATGCCACTGCACTCCAGCCTGGGTGACAGAGCAAGCCTCTGTCTCAAAACACACTCACGCGCGCACACACACACACACACACACACCCCAAACCGGCTTTTTTTTTTTTTTTTTTTTGAGACAGAGTCTCGCTCTTTTACCCAGGCTGGAGTGGAGTGGTACCATCTCAGCTCACTGCAACCTCTGTTTCCTGGGTTCAAGCAGTTCTACTGTCTCAGCCTCCTGAGTATCTGGGATTACAGGTGCGTACCACCATACCTGGCAAATTTTTGTATTTTTAGTAGAGACAGAGTTTCGCCATGTTGGCCAGGCTAGTCTCCAACTGCTGACCTCAGATGGCCCACCCACCCACCTCGGGCTCCCAAAGTGCTGGGATTATAGGCGTGAGCCATTGTGCCCAGCCCCTGCCAGGATTTTTATATCAGCTAATAGTTTTAAAATCATGACGGATTGTTCACAGTAATCACAGTTTTATGCCCTGTACAATTATGTAGAACATGTTTCAAAAGATTTTGAATCAAAGAATGTTTAATTTGCATAACTCAGAGAAGTGAATTATGAATTTACTAATATAAAATTATTCTTCTGGGTTTCAGGAGATCAAGAGCAGTAAATTTGACTGAAACAAAAATGCATTTGGTCTGAAACTTCTTTAAAACTCAAACTAGTAAGCATTTTATTGACTAAAAATGGATTTTCCTTCTCGAAAGGAAAACATATTTCAGGTCTACTTTTTTTCTTGAGTTAAGAGGAATATGTGTGTGTGTGTGTGTGTGTGTGTGTGTGTGTGTGTGTGTCTGTATGCATGTATATATCTTCACAATAAACCTTGACTTAAGTGCTATTATTCCCATCTTAAAGGTTTGGAAACTGAGGCTATAAGAGTAAATGGCTTGCCCACTTTTACACTGCTACTAGGGACTCACCCAGGATAGAAATTCAATTCTGTTGCTGGGTGCGGTGGCTCATGCCTATAATCCCAGCACTTTGGGATGCTGAGGTGGGCAGATTGCCTGAGCTCAGGAGTTCAAGACCAGCCTGGGCAACACTGTGAAACCCTGTCTCTACTAAAATAATACAAAAAATAAGCTGGGCATGGTGGCGTGTGCCTGTAGTCCCAGCTACTTGGAAGGTTGAGGCAAGAGAATTGCTTGAACCTGGGAGGCAGAGATTGCAGTAAGCCGAGATTGTGCCACCGCACTCCAGCCTGGGAGACAGAGCAAGACTCTGTCTCAAAAAAGAAAAAAAAAAAAGAAAAGAAAAGTCAATTCTGTTTTTAAACCCACATAATTTTTTTTTAACATTTTATTTTGAAAAATTAAAAACCTACAGAAAAGTTTCAGGAATGGTACAACGAACATGCATATTCCCTTCCTTTATATTCACCAGTTGTTACTATTAAAAAAAATTTTTTTTATAGAGTCAAGGTCTTGCTATGTTGCCCAGGCTGGTCTCCAACTCCTGGGCATAAGCGATCCACTTGCCTCAGCCTCCCAAAGGGCTGGGATTATAGGCTGAGCCACTGCGCCTGGCCAGTTGTTACTATTGTCCACATTTGCAAAACCCTCATCCTTTTTCTTTTCTTTTTTGTTTTTGAGACAGGGTCTTGCTCTGTCACCCAGGCTGGAGTGCAGTGGCACAATCATGGCTCACTGCAGCCTTGATCTCTGGGCTCAAGCAATCCTCCCACCTCAGCCTCCTGTGTAGCTGGGACCATAGGCAAGCACCACCATGCCTGGTTAAACTTTTTATTTTTATTTTTAATAGAGACCGGGGGTGGGAGTGCCTCTCTATGTTGCCCAGTGGTCTTGAACTCCTGGTCTCAAGCAGTCCTCCTACTTTGGCCTCCCAAAGTGTTAGGATTACAGGCATAAGACACCATGCCCAGCTAAAGCCCTCATTTTTTTTTTTCTTTAATCTTTTATTTACAGAGACAGGGTCTCATTGACTGTCTTGTTACCCAGGCTGGCCTTGAATTCCTATACTCAAGCTATCCTCCTGCCTCAGCCTCCCAAGGTGCTGGGATTACAGGCGTGAGCCACCACGCTTAGCTAAACTCTCATTCTTAATCATTGTACTGTTTATTAGGTATATGGTGGTCTTGGGATATTATATGATCCCTCTGTTTAATTTCTTCAATTGTAAGGACATAAAAATATTTACGTTGAGCATTTTTAAAATGGGATTAAGTGAAATGATGTACTTATTTTTTCAACAAATGTTTATTAATCTCCTACCGTGCTGGGATGAATACCAGACATTGTTCCAGGTCCGGACAAAGCAAGACAGCACAGTCCATACCCTAACAGAACTTAGAATCAGAGGTGGGGAGGCCAGACAGTGAAGGGCACACAAGGCAATTTCAGGACATCTAAGCACGGGAGAGGAGACAACACCTTTAAACACAGTAGTCTGGGAAGGCTTACTGGAGGAGGTGACCCCTGGCCAGAAGCCGTTCCCACAGAAGGGAGTAAATGCGAAGACAGGGGAAGAGCGGTCCAGCCTGCCCAGAGTGAGTGCTGAACATCTCTTTCACCAACATAGCAAGAGACTGGGGTACTTCCTTTTGTGGAGATTGTTTTTAGAAGAGAGCACACTTTGTCAGCTAGACTAGATCTTAATTTGACAAAAGATGGGCTAGGCCAGCCAGTTTTTCACAATCTATTCCAGCTTGCACATTTATAACTCTTCTTCACAGGGTACGGCAGGCATGGATTTCTGAGAATCAATCTTTATAAAAGGTGCCTTGAATTCCTTGGTAATGATTTCCTTTTAAGCATGTTACTTTTATGATTAAGAAACTGCTTTTTAAATTAACGGTAGTTGCTGTCCCAAGGAAGTCTGATCTGTGTTTCTGAAATCTCAATAATCTTTTGTTTCTAATTAAGGAATTGGATGAAGACATGCATCAGAAAATTGCAAGGGAAATGAACCTCTCTGAAACTGCTTTTATCCGAAAACTGCACCCGACAGACAACTTTACACAAAGTAAATATGCTTTTTTTTTTTTTTTTTTTTTTTTTTTTTTTTTTTTTTTTAAACTGCTCTGTCACCCAGGCTGGAGTGCAGTGGCATGATCTCGGCTCACTGAAACCTTCGCCTTTTGGGTTCAAGTAATTCTTGTGCCTCAGCCTTCCAAAGTGCTGGGATTATAGGTGTGAGCCACCACACCTGGCCTAAATATGCATTCTTTAAAATCATTCTTGAGTGATACCAGAAATTATTTTTTAGGTAGGGGAATGATTTTTAAGGAAAATTCCCCCTTGTTATTTGCATGCAGATAGTAGACAGAGCAGGAGATTCTAATTTAGTTTTCAGTTCATCTCGGGGAGGGGGTGTTGGTGAATCTGAATGTTTCCATTCCAGAGCTAGCACTGGGGAGCCCTAGGATGCTTGCCTTGCCATCATTTCTCCTTTTACAACATGTTTTGGCTATCCATCGTGCTAGAGAAATATTTAGGAAAGAGGAAAATGAGAAGTCTGTGACCTGTTTGCATGGGAATGATCTCATCTCTCTTTGGCTTTTCCTACCCTCAGGTTCCTGCTTTGGACTAAGGTGGTTTACACCAGCAAGTGAGGTCCCGCTCTGTGGCCACGCCACCCTGGCTTCTGCAGCTGTGCTGTTTTACAAAATAAGTAATGCGATTTTCTTTAATTAGTCTAACACTTAGCAAATGGCAATTTTTTTTTTTTAAGTTCTCACACTTTTTCTGGTGGTTCAAAGTGACTGGTATAAAGACTTCACAGAGTTTACTTCATGCTGTTCACAACACAGAAAGAAAAACGCAAACTTCAATAGCACTTTGGCCTTTCTGAGTATGTGCCCAGCATCATTGGAAAGCCGCAGTCAGAATGCCATTTTATTTATGTTATATTTTTATTTTACTTTACTTTCTGGTCTACAAAGAGTTTGATAACCATTTCATTTTATTATTATTATTTTTTGAGACAGAGTCTCACTCTGCTGCCCATGCTGGAGTGCAGTGGTGTGATCTCAGCTCACTGCAACCTCCACCTCCCGGGTTCAAGTGATTCTCCTGCCTCAGCCTCCCAAGTAGCTGGGATTACAGACTCCCACCACTGCACCCAGCTAATTTTTGTATTTTTAGTAGAGATGGGGTTTCACATGTTGGCCAGGCTGCTCTCGAACTCCTGGCCTCTGGTGATCCATCCGCATAAGCCTCCCACAGTGCTGGGATTACAGGTGTGACCCACTGTGCCTGGACTCATTTTAAACCAGAGATCTCTGGTTTTGTGAAGCTTGCATGGGCAGAACTGTCCTCTCATACGAAATGATATCAGGGACCAACAGGCACATTTCGCTCCAATTATTTCCCCTCTCACATTGAAATTCATTTCACAATAAGAGATTCTTTAATTTTTTTTTTTTTTTTTTAAGATAGGGTTTAGCTTTGTTGCCCAGGCTGGAGTGCAGTGGTGGGATCTCAGTTCATTGCAACCTCTGACACCTGGGCTCAAGCCATTCTCCCACTTCAACCTCCCAAGTGGCTGAGACCACAGGCGCACACCACCGTACCTGGCTAATTTTTGTATTTTTTGTAGAGACAAGGTTTTGCTATGTTGCCCAGGCTGGTCTCAAATTTCTGAGCTCAAGTGATCCGCCTACCTTGGCCTCCCAAAGTGCTGGGATTAGAGGCATGAGCCACCGCGCCCAGCCAATAAGAGCTTCTTTGCTTGAATTTTAAGCAAAGAAGGGCCCCCTGGTCCCCCACGATATGCATTCACCTTTATTTATTTATTTATTTATTTTTTTGTGAGATGGAGTTTCGCTCTTGTTGCCCAGACTGGAGTGCAATGGCGCGATCTCGGCTCACCGCAACCTCCGCCTCCTGGGTTCAGGCAATTCTCCTGCCTCAGCCTCCTGAGTAGCTGGGATGACAGGCACACGCCTCCATGCCCAGCTAATTTTCAGTATTTTTAGTAGAGACGGGGTTTCACCATGTTGACCAGGATGGTCTCGATCTCTTGACCTCGTGATCCACCCGCCTCGGCCTCCCAAAGTGCTGGGATTACAGGCTTGAGCCACCGCGCCCGGCCGCATTCACCTTAAGAGGAGTTGCAGCACCTTAATTCGATCAGTTTCTATCATAGCTGAATTTAGTTTAATGGATAGAGATCAGGGCCTTGTGGGAATGGGACAGAGAAGAGATTTCTGGAAAATGCCCCAAAACAGGAGATGGAAGCAGGCATAAACAAGAATAAACACTAAATGGAAACGAAAACAAGAAAATAAACAGGATGATACGACAGAGGTCACTGTGGGGGGTTGGGCAAAACCTTGTCTCTACTAAAAATACAAAAATTACCCAAGCGTAGTGGTGCACACCGAGCTACTCAGAAGGCTGAGGCAGAAGAATCACTTGAACCTAGGAGGCAGTCACTGCAGTGAGCCAGGATGGCACCATTGCACTCCAGCCTGGGCAACAGAGTCAGGCACCGTCTCAAAAAAAAAAAAAAGAAAAGAAAAGAAAGCAAGCAGGATTGAATAGAGGGAGGAAACTGAACTGCAGAGTAGTAGCAACAAAGAAAGGCTTAGGCCAAATTCATAGGGAGCTCTGAAGCTGGGCATTTCTTCAAGTGGTATAGTTCCAAGTAGAGGCAAAGAGTCAGGCGTTTTTACTCTCCGTGGACCAGTCCCCAAAGACTGGAAAAGATGTATCACTTTGGGCAAGGTAGCTCCACTCAGCCAAGGGTAACTCCAAGAGAGCAACTCAGCTGAGAGATGTGGGCCACCAGCACTCTGGGCAAGCAGGGTCAGGGCCGGGTGTAGGGAGAGCCAGCAAGGCCCCAGGTTGCAGCTGACAGCAGGTGCCTCCCTACACTTTGCACCCTATGGTATTTCCTTGTCTCATGGAGTCCCAGCCCAGAGGCTATGGGTCAGATATAGAATATGGATCAGCACCCACCAGAGAAGGGGAAATTTGGGCAAAAGGATGAGATGAAACATCTGTGCGATGAGCTGGGGTGAGAGGAGGAGCATCCCAGGCAGAGGCTGGCAAATGCAAAGCCCCTGGGGCCTGTCTATATGATTGGGAGGAGTTAAAGTTGAGAGGCCATATAATGTAATTCAACATACATTTCAAAAAGATGATATTGGTAACTGTGGATAGGGCATACGTGCAAAGGCAAGCAAACATCCTGAAATGTTTAGGAACTGAGTCTTGAAAAATAGGGTTTACTGAAATTAGACTGAGTGTCTTTTGTTTTTTTGACATGAGTTTTACTCTTGTCACCCAGGCTGGAGTGCAATGGCAAGATTTTGGCTCACTGCAACCTCCATCTCCTGGGTTTAAGCGATTCTCCTGCCTCAGCTTCCCAAGTAGCTGGAATTACAGGCGTCTGCCACCATACCTGGCTAATTTTTGTATTTTTAGTAGAGATGGGTTTTACCATGTTGGCCAGACTGGATTCAAACTCCTGACCTCAGGTGATCCACCTGCCTCAGCCTCCCAAAGTGAGATTGAGTGTCTTTTGAAAACTGGTCTCCACATGGGTTGGTTTGATGCTGAGGTTTGGAATAATCACACCCTGGAACCCTTCACAGGGCAGTCTTAATGTTAGATGAGCTAAGGTATGAAAAAATGCTTTGTAAATAATAAGTCTTATACTGATTGTAATGAGAAAAATTAAGCTTTGGGTTTCCAAGTGTAAATTTCATGCTCAATGAAAATTAATAAGCCAAAGTTCTTCCCCTTTGACATGTGGTTTAAGTTTTACAGAAATATTAAGGGAGTGAAAAGAATTAGGTCACCATTCTTTGTTTTCATTAAAAATGTTATGCACACTGATAAGTAGCCCAAGTTATATCAGCAACATGGATGCCAGGATTTGTGGTGCATTCTTTTGTGTGTGTGTGTGTGGTTTTTTGGTTTATTTGTTTGTTTTTTGAGACAGGGTCTCACTCTGTCTCCCAGGCTAAAGTGAAGTGGCATAATCTTGGCTCACTGCAACCTCCACCTCTTGGGTTCAAGCGATTCTCCTGCTTCAGCCTCCTGAGTAGCTGGGACTACAGGCATGTGCCACCACATTTTTTTTTTTTTTTTTTTTTTTTTTTTTTTTTTTTTGGAGACAGAGTCTCACTCTGTTGCCCAGGCTGGAGTGCGGTGGCACAATTTTGGCTCACTGCAACCTCTGCCTCCCAGGTTCAAGTGATTCTCCTGCCTCAGCGTCCCAAGTAGCTGGGACTACAGATGCGTGCCACCATGCCCAGTTAAATTTTTGTATTTTTAGTAGAGATGGGGTTTCACCATGTTAGCCAGGATGGTCTTGATCGCCTGACCTCATGATCAGCCTGCCTCAGCCTCCCAAAGTGCTGTGATTATAGGCATGAGCCACCATGCTGGGTCAGTGGTGCATTCTTTAAATCACATTGTTATGTAAAAGGTTTGGTTTATTTAGGATAAACCTAATTTATTTCATCTAAGACTGATATTTACATCTTAAACATTTTATTATTCCCTTGGCATATCTTAGACTATAAGAGCTTATGACTCTATAGTTGTTGCTGCTGGATATTTTAAAATCTGTATTAGAAACATTCTAGGCTGGGTACAGTGGCTCATGCCTGTAATCCCAGCAATTTGGGAGCCAACACTGGAGGATCAATTCAGTCTAGAACTTAGAGACCAGCCTAGGCAACATAGTGAGACCCCGTCTTTAAAAAAAATTTTTCACCTGTTATCCCAGCACTTTGGGAGGCCAAGGTGGGCAGATCACAAGGTCAAGAGATCGAGACCATCCTGGCCAATATGGTGAAACCCCGTCTCTTCTAAAAATACAAAAAAATTAGCTGGGCCTGGTGGTGCGTGCCTGTAGTCCCAGCTACTTGGGAGGCTGAGGCAGGAGAATTACTTGAACCCGGGAGGCGGAGATTGCAGTGAGCCGAGGTGGTGCCACTGCACTCCAGCCTGGTGCCTGGTGACAGAGTGAGACTCTGTCTCAAAAAAAAAAAATTTTTTTTTCATGGCTTATGTCTGTAATTCCACCTACTTGGGAGGCTGAGTTGGGAGGATTGCTTGAGCTCAGGAGGTTAAGGCTGTAGTGAGGCAGTGCCCAGCTTGGGCAATAGAGTGAGACATTCTGTCTCATTCTATTAATAAACCTATAACAGATAGGTTTATTAACCTGATTTTATAGATGAGGAAACTGAGATTTAAGAATGGTGGCCAGGGTCGGTGGCTCACGCCTGTAATCTCAGCACTTTGGGAGGCTGAGGCAGGTAGATCACTTGAAGTCAGGAGTTTGAGACCAGCCCTGACCAACATGATAAAACCTTGTCTCTTTTAAAAATATAAAAATTAGCCAGGCGTGGTGGTGCACACCTGTAATTCCAGTTTCTTGTGCAGCTAAGGTGGGAGAATCACCTGAACCTGGGAGGCAGAGGGTGCAGTGAGCTGAGATCACCCCACTGCACTCCAGCCTGGGCAACACAATGAGATCCTGTCTCAAAAAGAAAAAAAGGAGGCCAAGTTAGTAAGGGCACAGTTAGTAAGCAGTAAAGAGCTGGGATCTGGAGCCTTGATGTATGATGCCACATTCAATCAGTTATGTTTTTGGTTCTCAAGTTAGAATCTAGTGAGAGTTTTCTCCCAGCAACCCAAACCTCATTCCATCACAGAAAAGGATGGCATCGCCAGAAAATCTAAGACAGGTGTCCCCAAACTATGGCCCGCGGGCCGCATGCGGCCCCTGAGGCCATTTATCCGGGCCCCCGCTGCACTTCAGGAAGGCGCACCTCTTTCATTGGTGGTCAGTGAGAGGAGCACATTATGTGGCGGCCCTCCAACGGTCTGAGGGACAGGGAACTGGCCCCCTGTGTAAAAAGTTTGGGGACTCCTGGTCTAAGACAACGCAAAGGTGTTTGAAATAGACATGCATATATAGGACAAAGTTTATTTCCTATTTCTTGATTTCTGTTTTGGCCAGAAAACATGAATAGCACGCTCTCATTTGTCACTCTGAGTGGGGAACTAAAGGCCAGACGAGCAGAGGATGGCATCATTCTGGACTTGCCTCTTTATCCAGCCCATCCCCAGGTCAGCTCTTCGTAATTATTGCCCTAAGCTGTGTGCAACTGACAGCTCTCCTGCTTTATAATAATTTTATTTTTTTTCCCTCCCATCTAGAACTTCCATGAAGTAGAGGACTTGATAAAGGTTGGTAAAAACAAGCAAACCTGAGCCTAGTTATTGGTTATTGTTTGCACAGAAATATTTAGTACCATTTGATCCCCAAAGATAGGTCTTCTACCAATATAAATGTTACAGTGTTTCAAATTTGAATTTTAAAATTCATCCCATTTGGCGAGAAGGTTGACCGTTTTTCTTGGCTCCTGATTGCCAGTGCTGGCCCCCATGGTAGGGTGGAGGGAGGAGATGCTGTTGTGTGTCAGGCTGAAAGGCACAAAAGAACCAATGGAAGTGGCGAAGAAGAAGGAGAATAGGATGTTTTAAGGAAAGGTAAGTTTCTGGGAGGAGACCAGCTTTTAGGGAAATGAAGGGATATTGAATGTCTGTGCTTCTCTAGCTAGAAGGAGAGGCGTAGAGGAATGGGCCTAGAGCATCGCCATGCAAGTTCAGGTGTGAAAGTTGGGAATTTCTGGCAGAAAGAGGTCATTCCATAAAATCCATACACACAAGGTAGAAGGAAAAACGATGGAAGCTTCCTGGCAGCTGTCAGTGTCCCCAGTTTCTTTCTTTCTTTCTTTTTTTTTTTTTTTTGAGATGGAGTTTCGCTCTTGTTACCCAGGTTGGAGCGCAATGGCACGATCTTGGCTCACCGCAACCTCCGCCTCCTGGGTTCAGGCAATTCTCCTGCTTCAGCCTCCCGAGAAGCTGGGATTACAGGCACACGCCACCATGCCCAGCTAATTTTTTGTATTTTTAGTAGAGACAGGGTTTCACCATGTTGACCAGGATGGTCTCGATCTCTTGACCTCGTGATCCACCTGCCTTGGCCTCCCAAAGTGCTGGGATTACAGGCGTGAGCCACCGCGCCCGGCCCAGCGTCCCCAGTTTCTATAGTAAAGGATGGAACCGAGGTGGGGGAGGGATGTGCTTTGATGGAGGAAACCAAGAAAGCATGAGTATCTTGCAGAGAAGACGATGCGGAACATGGGCTCCTCATGGGGTCTGTGTGGGCATGGGGCTTAAATATTAATGATGATGAAACATTTTGAGTCTCTCTGTGTGCAGTGCCACTTGCTGAGCATTTCACTTTCATCGTCCATTTAATTCTCAATGTTTCTCAGCGAGGTGGGCACTGACTGCAGTTGTCCCACAGAGGTTCTGCAGGGCCAGAGCAGCCCAGATGACCAGGGGCTTGCTGTGTAGAGAAGAGAGGACCCAGGTCAGGACCAGGGCAAGGGCTGTCATGGGAAGAATGATTCTGTAGCTTAGTCTATTGTGAGTACTACTGGGGTATTTCTCAGTGAATTTTTAACTACAGCATTGGTAATCTCTTTAGTGTTTGGCTTTATCGATGTTTTCAAAGAACATAAATAAATAAGCACGATGGATCCTGATTTTATACTCAGCCCTACCCATGGCTTGGGTTTCTGGAGACAAGCCAAATTTAAAAACAAAGAAACTGCTTTAAACATACTGGTAAGAAAGTGGGAAAAAATTTATAATGGTAGACAATGTTCATGGTAGAAAGAACTTAACTTAGCCTCAGAGTCAGCATTTATTAAATGGGATAATAAAGGGTTGTAAGTATTGTCATTTTGGGTTCTTCCCTAGAAACTGGCAGCAAGATTCCCAGCTGAGAATGAAACTTTTTTTTTTTTTTTTTGAAACATACTTTTGCTCTTGTGGCCAAGGCTGGAGTGCAATGGTGCAATCTCGGCTCACCGAAACATCTACCTCCTGGGTTCAAGCAGTTCTCCTGCCTCAGTTGCCAGTAGCTGGGAATACAAGCATGCACCACCACGCCCAGATAATTTTATATTTTTAGTAAAGATGGGGTTTCTCCATATTGGTGAGGCTGAACTTGAACTCCCAACCTCAGGTGATCTGGCCACCTCGGCCTTCCAAAGTGCTGGGATTACAGGCATGAGCTACCGTACCTGGCCTTAAACTTTTTTTTGACATGAAATCTTACTCTGTAGCCCAGGCTGGAGTGCAGTGGTGTAATCTCAGCTCACTGCAACCTCAGCCTCCCAGGTCCTGGTTCAAGCAATTCTCCTGCCTCAGCCTCCCAAGTAGCTGGGACTTGGCATGAGCCACCATGCCCAGCTAATTTTTGTATTGTTTAGTAGAGATGGAGTTTCACCATGTTGGCCAATCTGGTCTTCAAGTCTAGACCTTGTGATCCACCTGCCTCGGCCTCCCAAAGTGCTGGGATTTCAGATGTGAGCCACTGCGCCCAGCCTACTTTTAAATTAACATATGAACCCATGCAGATAAGGGCAGGGTTTGAGAGACCAAGGCTCTGGAGAACAGATGGGATCTGGCTATAGAATTCCCATTTGTTGAGGAAGTGACGTTGGTCAGGCCATAGTCACAGAGGCAGAAAGCTCAAGTACTACCCCAGGCAGAAGGAATTCTGTCTGTGGGAACTGGAGTATCTTGGCTTCTAACAAGGTTTAGGGAACCTGAAGCCACCTAGCGATTACCATACAGCTACTTCGTAATTATCTTCTGCTGGGCCTGGCAGCTGGGAGTGGTGCCAAAGGATGACTTGGTGGTATTGGAAGGGATTGTCACCTCGTAATCTCCCTCAGTGCTCCAAGCCACCCTCAAACAAGCATACGAACAAATGATGTTCCTGGATTACAGCAAGATTATGTGCAGTCAGGTAGACTAAATCAAGGTATCCTGAGAGCATGTTATGTTATTGATCTGTCACATACATTCTGAGTGCAAGTGGTATGCTTGCCAAGCAGAGCAGCATAAGATGAGTCCTCTAGTCCTTACTTCCAGTCAAACTGCTAGTCCTGAGACCTTGCCATGTGGAATGTTCTAATTGCTGCTGCAGGAACTCACATATATGATTTCATTTAATCCTCACAGCTCTAAGAGGTGGACATAAGGCCCCCCATCTCCAAAGGTAGTGGTCAGTAGGGATTTAGAGCTTTTTCTCTGACCTTCTCAGACCTGGGTCAAGGAGTGTGTGTGTGTGTGTGTGTGTGTGTGTGTGTGTGTGTGTGTAATCTTTGGTGTTTCTAAGTCTCTTTCTCCTCTGTGGGGAGAATACCTACTTGAAGGAGCTGTGCATTAAGGTACATAGTAGGCACTTGTGAGCAATGCCTGTGGGTTTGTTTGTTTGTTTTTTTTTTTTTTGAGATGAAATCTCCCTCTGTCTCCTAGGCTGGAGTGGAGTGGTGCAATCTCGGGCAAGTGATTCTTGGTTCATCAGGTTCAAGTGATTCTCCTGCCTTAGCCTCCAAAGTAGCTGGGATTACAGGCATGCACTACTGTGCCTGACTAATTTTTTTAATTTTTAGCAGAGACAGGTTTTGCCATGCTGGCCAGGCTGGTCTTGAACTCCTGACCTCAGGTGATCCACCTACCTCAGCCTCCCACAGTGCTGGGATTACAGGTGTAAGCCACTGTACCTGGCTGCAATGCCTGTTCTGAGGCTCACAGAGGCGTCTGTGGTAGCCAGGAGACTGACCATCCTTGGGCAACAGCTTAAGCTCTGAAACTGCACCAACACTCTTGGGGACTGGAGACAATGGGCGTGCTTGGCTCACAGTGGATGCTCAGTGAGAGGTCATTCCCCATTTCAGGGGATCAACGACTTGACCCAGGGCATGCCCCTGAGGAGATTTTGGTCTGTCTCTACAGACTGCCATAGGCAACACACTGGTCCAGGACGTCTGTTATTCTCCAGATACCCGAAAGCTCCTTGTCCGCCTAAGTGACACTTACAACAGGTAAGATTTTTGGCTGCCTCAGCACTTTGGGGAGGGCTGACTGCCCAGATTTGTAGCTCTGCCTTGGTCTGGCTGTGCTGTGCGCAGTCAAGTCATGATTTATGCAGCCAGAGTGTTTCTTTCTCTGGTCGGAAGACATTACCACTTGCTCTTCCCTCCCCTCCTGCTGCGCTGCTTGAGCAAGCTGCACCCTGGCCTGTTTTACAGAGTCTGTCTGGCTAGTGAGCTGTGAAATGGGTTTGTCCTAATCCATCTCATTTATGAACAAGGTCATTTCTGGAGAACCTGAAAGTGAACACGGAGAATCTGACGCAAGTTGAAAACACAGGGAAGGTGAAAGGACTTATTCTTACCCTCAAAGGAGAGCCTGGTGGGCAGACCCAGGCATTTGACTTTTACTCCAGATATTTTGCACCGTGGGTTGGTGTGGCTGAAGACCCAGTGACAGGTACTTTTTACTTGAGCTCAGGGGAGGGTAAAACAATGGAAGAGGAGGATAACAAATAGTTATCGAATTGCACTTCATGTGACCTTTCAGGTGGTTTGGGTTTTGAGCTGCCTCGTTCCTCTAGCTCTCCCCTCCCTGCCATCCCTTCACTGAAGTCTCACAAGAAAAACAAAATAGAGCAGGCAGATAGCAGAGTTAAACCTGAGTGTCAGACAGCCTGGGTTTACATTACTCGCTTCCAAGCTCTTGACCTTGAGCAAGTGACTTGACTTTTAAAAGTCTCAGTTCCCTCCTCTATCAATTGTGTATAATACCTCATAGGGCTATAAAAACACAATGCATGTTAAGGGCTTAATACAGTGCCTGGCACATGGTAAGTGCCCAATGACTACTAGCTATTTTATTTCATTATTATGTTTGGTTTTTTTTGAGACAGAGTCTCACTCCATCACCCAGGCTGGAATGGAGTGGCATGATTTCAGTTCACTGCAACCTTGGCCTCCCAGGTTCAAGTGATTCTCTTGCCTCAGCCTCCCAAGTAGCTGGGACTATAGGTGCCCGCCATCACACCCAGCCAATTTTTCTGTTTTTAGTAGAGATAGGGTTTAACCATGTTGGCCAGCCTGGTCCTGAACTCCTGACCTCAAGTGATCTACCCTCCTCGGCCTCCCAAAGTGCTGAGATTACAGGCATGAGCCACTGTGCCTGGCCAACTACTAGCTATTTTCATAATAACAGCAAAACTATCTCCTCGAGCCAACAATTCTAGATTATTCACCACCTGGAAGCAGAGGGATGGAGTCAAAAATGGGCAGAAATGTCATGACTCCTACTCTCACCCTCTTTGGGAACAGTGGGCTGAGCTGCAAAGGACGAGAATGCTTGAAGTGGGAGGATGGTGGGTGGGATGGCGAACGGGGCCACAGGGGTTTGAATAGAGCCTCCAAGACTCCTGTTCTGGTCAGGTGGCAGGGCTTGGATGGTTCAGCTACTCTCTGAGGAACAAAACACATGAAATTCAAAACTCAACAAACGAGCACTTTTAAAGACTCAGGAAAATGCCCAGCAACATCCCAACAGTCCAACTTCCCCATGGAAGAAAAGTTCTGAGCAGATTTGTACATACATGCACAGCTGCTTCTCAAAGATTCTAATTGGCACAGAGTGCAAGTTTTTTTTTTTTTTTTTTTTTTTTTTTTTTTTTCCTGTAATAATGCTTTTCTAGAGTGTGAAGATCCTTAAACTTTGATGACCATCCATCTGGGTTTGCTTGAGACTGAGGGGTTTCTCAGGATGCAGAATTTTTGGTGCTAAAACCAGGATGGTCTCGGCCAACCAGGATGGTTGGTTGCCTTACTTGAACATCCCATAACACTTTTTTTAAATTTTTGAGACAGAGTCTCACTCTGTTGCCAGGGCTGGAGTGCAATGGCACTATCTCAGCTCACTGCAACCTCTGCCTCGCAGGTTCAGGAGATTCTCCTGCCTCAGTCTCCTGTGTAGCCGGGATTACAGGAACTTGCCATCATGCCAGGCTAATTTTTTATATTTTTAGTAGAGACAAGGTTTTACCATGTTGGCCAGGTTGGTCTCAAACTCCTGGCCTCAGGTGATCCACCCACCTCGGCCTCCCAAAGTGCTGGGATTACAGGTGTGAGCCACCGCACCCAGACCTATAACACTTAATATGTTTTCCTAAAGGAGAGGTGTTTCTTCTCCATCTTTTTCTCTCTGAAATATTTTTCTGTCAGTTATTGCTGTATATTTTGTTTTTTCATTTTAAAATCTAATCTCTGATCTAAATCCAGAGTACAAAAGTTAAAAAAAAACACCTCGTTAAAAAGGAAGTTCTTTTGGCACCAAAAGCTCTGGAATTTTAGCTTGGTGGAAAATTTAGCCTTTTAGCTAGGTGCGGTGGCTCATGCCTGTAATCCCAGCACTTTGAAAGGCCGAGGTGGGAAGATTGCATGGGGCCAGTAGTTTGAGATCAGCCTGAGCAACATAGGGAGACCCCATCTCTACTAAAGAATTAAAAAAATAATAAAATAAAAGAAAATTTAGCCTTTTTTTTTTTTTCCCAGAGTTTCCACCTTTCTTTGCATATGCAGTCTGGGAAGAAGGAGTTACTTTCCCTGGAAAGATGTAGAAAGATTTATGCAAGGTTGGGCATGATGGCTCATGCCTGTAATCCCAGCACTTTGGGAGGCTTAGGTGGGTGAATCACCTGAGGTAAGGAGTTCGAGACCAGCTTGGCCAACATAGTGAAAACCCATCTCCACTAAAAGTACAAAAATTATCTGGGCATGGTGGCATATTTCAGCTACTTGGGAGGCTGAGGCAGGAGAATCGCTTGAACCCAGGAGGTGGAGGTTGTAGTGAGCTGAAATTGTGCCACTACACTTCAGCCTGGGCAACAGAGCAAGACTCTGTCTCAAAAAAAAGAAGAAGAACAAAAAAAAGAAGTATGCAGAGGCCTTGATTTTCCTACCAAGAGCTAACAATGAGCTGATAGATAAGACAAGAATTAAAACCTGCAGGCTAATTCAGCCTTAAGAAACTATAAGGACCAGTCACAGTGGCTCATACCTGTAATCCCAACACTTTGGGAGGCTGAGGTGGGAGGATCTCTTGAGCTCAGAAGTTCAAGACCAGGCTGGGCAACATGGCAACACCCCATCTCTACAAAAAATACAAAGGTTAGACAGGCATGCTGACATGCACCTGTAGTTCCAGCTACTTGCAGAGGGCTGAGGTAGGAGGATAACGAGAATGGGAAGTCAAGACTGCGGTGAGCCATGATTGTGCCACTGCACTCCAGGCTGGACAACAGCATTATTTTGTCTGGAAAAAAGAAAAAAGGAAAGAAACTAAGACATATTTGATACATAATTTGGCAGAGTTTATCCATAAATTCTGTGTCTTCCTTTCTACCTCCATTCATAATTCTACACCCTGCTGTGGGCTGGCCAACATAACGATTAGGTGATCTAGGGTTTAGGAAAACTGGATAATTTATTGTAAATGCTTAGAAATTTACCACGAAGTTGCCTCTGTTTTCTTTGGGATTGTCTCCTAACTTTTTACTTCTTTTCAGGGTCTGCACATGCTGTTCTCAGCAGCTACTGGTCCCAGCAGCTGGGGAAGAAAGAAATGCATGGTAGGACATCTCTTTACCAATTTATTTTTTATTTGCTTAATTCCAAGCTAGTGTTCCTTCTCATATGCACTATCCCCTTGAAAATGTAATAAAATGTTATGTATCACCCATGTGAAAATGAAAGGTTTTAAGATTCCTTCACCCTTAAAGATCCTTCACCCCAAACATCCTTCACCTTTGCCTCCCCAACACACAGATACTGTATGGACACAGACACAGTAACTGCCCAGTAAGTGTTTGCTGAATAAAATTAACTAGCTGTGTAACTTGGGCCCAGAGAGGTTATTTATAATGTGATGGGTTGAGATTGGATGATCAGCACGGTTCCTTACTGCTATTGCTAGTCATAGGATTGAATCAAACAAATTACTTTGAAACCAAGTCCCCTAGTGATTAATGTATTGCTTAGGGGCAGAGAAAAATGATTGCAGCTGATGGAGGCTGCACTGCCCTGATCATCCAAGAAGTCTGTGACCCTGATTTGGAGAGAGCAGGGTGGCTATTCATTTTTTTTGGCGAGTCTAATTATTTTCTTAAGTACTGAGCTCCTGGAAGACTGAGGCTATGCCTCTTTTGTCTGCCTGGCACGTGGTTGCTTGAACATGTTATGAGTGAATGAACTCCCTCTGTCCTATTCAGAGCTGAGAAGATGGGGACCTTCTCAGAAGGGCCAAGACCATCCCGCATCATCTTGTTAGACTCTACTGTTTCAAACATCTTTGCTTACTCTTCAAGAGAGGGGAAGAAAGGATGAGTGGGGTGTGTCTGGGCCATTATAGGAATGAGTAGAGGAAGTGGCCCAGGAAAAGGCTCAGGAAGGGAGTATGTGGAGCTATATGTTTTTAGATCAAATTGAGTTTGTGGTCCTCTCAGTTTGCTGGAGAATGAGGATGGGAGTGGGCAATACCATATGCAGATGAAGGGATTTATTCTTGAAACTGATCTGGGAGGACTCTAGGATTTGTAATAAGAAATCTTTCACTATGCTCTGTTAATTTAAAACGGTGAAAATGCTCTTAATTTGATTTGTTTGTTTTCTTTAGCATTTCAGTGTTCCCACCGAGGAGGAGAGCTGGGGATTTCACTTCGTCCAGATGGAAGGGTTGACATTAGAGGAGGTGCAGCTGTTGTTTTAGAGGGCACACTGACAGCCTAGAGGTGGTTGTGCTATGATGCCACGGTCTCTAACCACCAAGTATTTTCTGCATAAAAAGAAATGTAAGCGTCTGCCTTTAGAAAATGTGCATCATTGCCCACTTAATCCTCATGTTAAAAATTTAAAAATGGTCTGGGCACAGTGGCTCACACCTGTAATTCTAGCATTTTGGGTGGCCGAGGTGGGTGGATCACCTGAGGTCAGGGGTTCTGTACCAGCCTGGCCAACATGGCAAAACCTCATCTCTACTAAAAATACAAAAATTAGTTGGGTATGGTGGTACATTGCCTGTAATCCCAGCTATTTGGGAGGCTGAGGCAGGAGAATCGCTTGAACCCAAGAAGCAGAGGTTGCAGTAAGCTGAGATCATGGCACTGTGCTCCAGCCTGGCTGACAGAGTGAGACTCCGTCCCCACCCCCAAAAAATTGAAAAATGAAGACATTTTAATGGAGATTTAATAATGCTTCCAGACTAATGAGCTAATGGAGTTTTGGCTCCACTTACGAGTGTATTTGAAAAATAAGTAACCAGTTACAAAGAACAATGCTACTTCATTTCATTATGACTACCCATCAGAGAAAGAGGAATACATTTCTGAGGAGTGAAACTAAACCATTTGAACTTAAATGAGCACCTGATTTTGCAGCCATTAAAATGAGTCAATAACTATGTGGAAATATAGAAAAATATTTTATAATGCTAAGAAAAAAAGAGGGCAATAGGCCATAAAATGTTAGCAATGTTAGGCTATGTCTGTATAGACAAGCAAGGGCCATGAAAGATAGCAAAGGGGAAACAGTTCATGTGTGTGGGGGGGTGATTAGAAGTAATCTATAATATTGAATACCTGTAGTTGACTTTGGGATGGGGACTTTTTCAAGTCTTTATGAGTGTTTGCTTAAGGTGATCGCATTGATGGTAGTTCTCAGCCATCTCAAAAACCGCCAGCTAATCAGTTAGACATTCTTTAGTGACCTCAATTTTTTCACTTTAATTGCTACTGTGTTTTCTATTTTTACTGATCTTTGCTAATTTTATTATAGCAGTAATCTTGTGTTTCTCATGATTTGCAATAAAGTCAATAATTCACCAGCGTTAATGCCTTAACTTAATGAGTAACCAGTGGCACTCACAGACCTCACAGCGGACAACACACCCATGGGTCATGATACCAAGGGCGAGAATCACCAGAAGGTTTTCACCAAATGTGGGATTTTCCCAACCTGAGACTGAATTGTATGAATAATTTTATATAAATGGATAGTTGAGAGGGCCTGAATTTGATTAGGTCTGAATTTGATCTCTCAAATGTATGCTAATTTTTTTTTTTTTTTTGAGACAAGAGTCTTGCTCTGTTACCCAGGCTGGCAGGATCTTGGCTCACTGCAACTTCTGCCATCCAGGTTCAAATGATTCTCATGACAGCCTCCAAAGTAGCTGGGATTATAGGCACCCACCACCATGCCTGGATAACTTTTATATTTTTAGTAGAGATGGGATTTTGCCATGTTGGCCAGGCTGGTTTCAAATTCCTGGCCTCAAGTGATCCACCCGCCTTGGCCTCCCAAAGTGCTGGGATTACAGGCATGAGCCACCATGGCTGGTGATGCTATATTCTTAATAGATATTTTTGGGAAAGAAGTCTCTGTGATAACTCTGGATTCCGTTTCGCATGAAAGTTTATTTGTAGCTTGTGACTTGACTTTTCATCTTATATTTTCAAACCACATATTCACTTGTGTGATTTTTTAGAAAATTGTCCAATGGATAGTTGAGTCTGAATAGTCAGAAAACTGATTATGTTTTTTTCCATACATACACTGTTTCTGTAAGAATACTGTTTATGTATTTCCTCAGCCTGCTGAAAATGGACTCGGGCTGCAATGCACATGTGTGTGGGAAGTAGTCACCAGGGAAGAAGGGACGGGGGCAGGAGAAGCACACCTGAATAGCTACACAAGGCATCTATTTATCTTTCTGTAAATATGCCTACATTTATTTAAAAATAAACATATTTAAACATTAAGGCTGGGCACGGTGGCTCATGCCTGTAATCCTAGCACTTTGGGAGGCTGAGGTGGGCGGATCACTTGAAGTCAGGAGTTTGAGATCAGCCTGGCCAACATGGTAAAACCCATCTCTACTAAAAATATAAAAATTAGCCGGGCATGGTGGCAGGTGCCTGTAATCCCAGCTACTCAGGAGGTTGAGACAGGAAAATTGCTTGAACCCAGGAGGGAGAAGTTTTAGTGAGCTGAGATCACACCACTGCACTCCAGCCTGGGTGACAGAGTGAGACTGTCTAAAAATAAATAAATAAACACTAAAATCAGATTTGGTCATGACATGAGCATGTGTAATCAAATTCTACTTAATTAAATACCGTATGATGGGATTTTAATTCACCAAGTGGGGAAGCTTATCATGTCTTGATGACAGCTACCATTTAAGTCCATTTTGCCATTTTGCTGACTCTTCTTATTTTGGCTTCTTAGTCATTATGCAGCTTTTTAATGTTAGTTTGTTTCTTTGTTTTTAAGAGAAAAAGGGCTCTTTTGCCCTTGCTTGTTGCCCAGGCTGGAGTACAGTGGCACAACCATAGCTTATTGTAGCCTTGAACTTCTGGGCTCAAGTGATCCTCCCATCTCAGCCTCCTGAGTAGCTAGGGCTACAGGCATGTGCCTCCATGCCCAGCTTATTTTTAAATTTTTGGTTGAGATAGGGTCCTGTTGTGTTGCCCAGGCTGGTCTTGAATTCCTGGCTTCAAGTGATCCTCCTGCCTTGGCCTCCCAAATCATTGGCATTACAGGCATGAACCACTGTGCCTGGCCAGCTTTTTATGTTTTTATACAAATATAAAAAGTGACATCTCTGGGTAGCAAGAGCAAAGAGCCTCTAGGGTATACTCTGTACAGTGAGTTATCTGCTGAGATGGGTGGGGCAGGTTTGAGAGCCCTCGTTCCAGATAGGTTTGTTCCTGCCTCTTCCACCTCTGCCCACCTCTTGCCTACCTGATCTTACTGAGAATGGACACAGGTGAATGCAGAGGGAGATTGTGAGAGCTGTGTTTCTGCTTGTAGTCATCTGTTTTCATGCTGCTAATAAAGACATACCTGAGACTAGGTAAAAGAAAAAGAGGTTTAGTGGACTCAGTTCCACATGGCTGGGGAGGCCTCAAGATCATGACAAAGGTGAAGGGGTCATCTTACACAGTGGCAGGTAAGAGAGAATAAGAGCCAAGTAAAAGGGGAAACCCCTTATAAAACCATCGGATCTCATGAGACTTATTCAATACCGCAAGAGCAGTGTGGGAGAAACTGCCCCCATGATTCAATTATCTCCCACCAGGTTCCTCCTGCAACATGTGGGAATTGTGGGAGCTACAGTTCAAGGTGAGATTTGCGTGGGAACACAGCCAAACCATATCATTCTGTTCTTGGCCCCTCCCAAATCTCATGTCCTTACATTTCAAAACCCATCATGCCTTCCCATCAGTCCCTCAAAATCTTAACTCATTTCAGCATTCACTCAAAAGTCCACAGTCCAAAGTCTCATCTGAGACAAAGCAAGTCCTTCTGCCTATGAGCCTGTAAAATCAAAAGCAAGTTAGTTACTTCCTACATGCAATGGGGGCACAGGCACTGAGTAAATACAACTGTTCCAAATGAGAGGAATTGGCCAAAACAAAGTGGCTACAGGCAAGTCTGAAATCCAGTGGAACAGTGAAATCTTAAAGCTCCAAAATGATCTCTTTTGACTCCGTGTCTCACATCTAGGTCACACTGATGCAAGAGATGGGCTCCCATAGCCTTGGGCAGCTCTACCTCTGTGGCTTTGCAGAGTATAGCCCCATCTCACGGCTGCTTTCACAGGCTGGTGTTGAGTGTCTGCGGCTTTTCTAGGTGCACGGTGCAAGCTGTCGGTGAATCTACCATTATGGGGTCTGGAGGACAGTAGTGCCTCAGGAGGGACTCTGGGGGCTTGCATCCCACATTCCCCTTCCACACTGCCTTAGAGGTTCTCCACGAGGGCTCTGCCCCTGCAGCACACTTCTGCCTGTGCACCCAGGCATTTCTATACATCCTCTGAAATCTAGGCAGAGGTTCCCAAATCTCAATTTTTGACTTACGTGGACCTGCAGGCTCAACACCGTGTGGAAGCTGCCAAGGCTTGGGGCCTTGCACACTCTGAAGCAATGGCCTAAGCTATACCTTGGCCCCTTTTAGCCATGGCTAAAGCAGTTGGGATGCAGGACACCAAGCTCCTAGGCTGCACAAGCAGGACCCACAAAACCATTTTTTCCTTCTAGGCCTTTGGGCCTGTAATGGGAGCTGCTGCCACGAAGATCTCTGACATGCCCTGGAGACATTTTCCTCATTGTGTTGGTGATAAACATTTGGCTCCTTGCTACTTACGCAAATTTCTGCAGCCGACTTGAATTTCTCTTCAGAAAATGGGTTTTTCTTTTCTATCGCATGCTTAGACTGCAAATTTTTTGAACTTTCATTCATTTCCTTTTAAAACTGAATGCTTTTAACAGCACCCAAATCACGTCTTGAATGCTTGCTGCTTAGAAATTTCTTCGGCCAGATACCTTAAATCATCTCCTTCAAGTTCAAAGTTCCACAGATCTCGAGGGCAGGGGCAAAATGCTGCCAGTCTCTTTGATAAAACATTGCAAGAATACCTTTATTCCAGTTCCCAACAAGTTCCTTATCCCCATCTGAGATTACCTGAGCCTGGATTTCATTGTCCATGTCATTATCAGCATTTTGGTCAAAGCCATGCTACGAGTCTCTAGGAAGTTCCAAACTTTCCCACATTTTCCTATCTTCTTTTGAGCCCTCAAAACTGTTCCAACCTCTTCCTGTTACCCAGTTCCAAAGTTGCTTCCACATTATTGGGTATCTTTACAGCAGCACCCCACTCCCAGTACCAATTTACTGTATTAGTCTGTTTTTATGCTGCTGATAAAGGCATATGCGACACTCAATAATTTATAAAGAAAAAGAGGTTTAATGGACTCACAGTTCCACATGGCTTGGAAGGCCTCATAATCATGGCAGGAGGTGAAAGGCATGTCTTACCTGGTGGCAGGCAAGAGAGAATGAAAGCCAAG